GAATGTTCCTTGGGCTTGTTTTTCATCGCTATGCAGGGGGTCAGTACAACAAGGAGAGAAGTTTATGCAACCAGTCCTGGTTTTCCTTTGCCTAACTTTACAATTTTCTTTCTCCCTTTTGTAGAAGTAGGATAGCCTTCCCACCTGGAAGAGAACATCTGTAAAAGTGGATTTGAATTCGGACTGCACAAAATTTATTTCATTTCTTGTGCACAAGTCAATGTATTGCGCCCAAACTTTCTGCGGTACTTTGTCATGATAGCAGAGTCGAAGTAGGAGCCTCGCAAGTTCTCCTTGATCCTTTGAAAAATTTGCTCGCTGTCGATCTTTACCACTCCCTCCTCACTTCTGACAACGGGATGCAATTTGGGGCAGAAACCTTCCTTCGGCTGACCCTCTGTTTATTGCCAAATCTTTTCTGCTGCGATTTGCGAGAGTGCCCGAGAGAGACAGAACACTTCGACTTCAGTGTCCGCTACAACATGACCAGCTTCGACGCAGGGCAACCCATCCAGAACATCGTGGTGAACGATTCTCACTCAAAAAGCATCTACCTCGCTGTGCGGAACTGGCTGTACGCGTTAAATGTGTCTCTCGAAAAGACATCTGAGGTGCGGACGGGTCCAGTTGGTAGCCCGGAATGTGAAATGTGCAATATTTGTGAGACACACTGGGAGCCAGCAGGGGGGCTGGAAGATAATAACAACGAGGTCCTTGTGTTCGATACGTTTGATCCATACTTGTACAACTGCGGAAGCTCTCAACACGGCATCTGCTACCTGCACAACATCGAGCATGGTAATTTAAGTGACGTTAGGTGTCTATTCAAAGAGAAAAACAACAGGCCTGACCATTGCCCTGACTGTGTGGCCAGCCCATTGGGAACCCAAGTGCATGTCCGCACTGAGTCGTTTGTTACTTATTTCTTCATTGGTGCCACTCTCAATAGTTCAGTGGCAAAAGCATACAGTCCCAAGTCAATATCAATGAAACTGTTGCTGGGATCCATGGATGGCTTTGAATTCCCTTCCAAAAACAAATCTTCACTGACTGTGCTGGACGAGTTTTTGGACACCTATCCCATAGATTACGTTTACTCCTTCAGCTCGGAAGATTATGTCTATTTCCTAACCGTCCAAAAGGACAGCACTAGTTTGAAAAGCTCGTACCAGACTAGGGTTGCCCGCTTGAAGCACGGCGAGTACGAGGTGGGAAATTACCGGGAGCTGGTCCTGGAATGCCAGTACGAGCCCAGGCGGAGACGAAGAACGGCCGCCGGGGAGGAAACCTGGTACAATATTTTGCAAGCCGCTTACCTGGCCAAACCAGGAGCACATCTTGCCGAGGAGCTGGCTGTTTCTGAGACCGACGACGTGCTGTTTGGGGTCTTTGCAGAGAGTGATCCCCAGAGCAAAGACGTACGGAGCAGGTCAGCCCTGTGCACGTACCCAGTCAAAATGATCGATAAGTTCATCAAAGAGGGCATGGAAGACTGTTGTGTGCGATCAGAGGAAACTCCGAAGAGGGGGCTGGAGTTCTACCAGCAGATGGAATACTGCCCTCAAAGCGTGAGTACACAATCCTTTTCCCCGGTTTTTCTTTTTCTTTCTATCCCTACCTCTCTTCAAACTCTGTTCTGAAGCTCCAAAGATAGGAGTTTGCCTGTGCTTGAATCTAGCGTGAAGGCTAATGAAACACCAGACTGATTGTGGGAATGGGTCTCATGACTGCAATTAAGCTTGCTAAGATAACCCAGTGTGGAGCTGGAGGAACACAGCAGGCCGGGCAGCATCAGAGGGACAGGAAAGTTGATGTTTTAGGTCCCCACCCGAAAAGTCAACTTTCCTGCTCCTCTGATGCTGCCTGTCCTGCTGTGTTCCTCCAGCTCCACACTGGGTTATCTCTGACTCCAGCATCGGCAGTTCTTACTATGTCTAAGCTTGCTAAGAGGTGCCTGAAATTGGCCAGCACTTTTGGGTGTGTATCTAAATCACGAAACTGTCTATACTCAGAAGATTGATTTAAGTTGGGTGAATTGTTGATAGACTTCCTTAGAAGAAGCAGTATGATGGATGATACAGCCCTTGCTGATGGCACGGTGTGAGTGGGAGCTAAGTGTTCTGGTTGCAAATCCCACCAGCTCTTGGTGTTTGTCATGTTTGAGGAGGTTGATTCTTCCTTTATACTTCCCTGTGCTGTGATAAAATGTGCAGACTGATCAAACTCTCCATGCTCTGGGTTGGTTTGATCTTGGTTGGCTTGCTCTGATGCTATGTACAGGTTTTTGCACCATAACTGAAACACTTCCTGTATGGCCAGCGATGGGAACCTTTTTTCTGAATGTTATAATATAATAGCTAATGAAGTGTCAGAAGGGGAAGTCAAGTGGAGGAAATGATACTGAAGTAAGTCGTACAGATACTCATGAAGAAGGAGAATAAAATATTTTCTATTTATATATGCCATGTGATGACCAGTTTTGGGCTTGAGGTTTTCCCTACACCTGTAAACCAAAGCATGTCCAATAAATTTTTCAAATGCATAAGCGTTCTTTGCTCCCAGTCTCTTTTATGGTTTTTTAAAAAATTCATTCGCAGAATGAGGGCATCGCTGGCTAGACCAGCATTTATTGCCCATCCCTAATTACCCAGAGGGCATTTGTGAGTCAACCACATTGCTGTGGGTCTGGAGTCACATGTAGGCCAGACCAGGTAAGGAAGGCAGTTTCCTTCTCTAAAGGATATTATTGAACCAGATGGGTTTTTTTTTGGCAATGGTCACCATTAGACTCTTAATTCTAAATATTATGACCAGACAATGAGAAATAATTGAATCCCCTTTTTTCTTTGTCACAATATTATTTTTAGCTTCAAATCATAGAATCCCTACAGCGTGGAAATAGGCCATTCAGCCCAACAAGCCCACACTGCCCCTCTGAATAGCACCCCACCCAGACCCATTCCCCCACGTCTAACCCACCTAACCTAAACATTCCTGGGCACTATGGGCAATTTAGCATGGCCAATCCACCTACCCTGCACATCTTTGGATGGTGGAGGAAACCCACACAGACACAGGGAGAACATGCAAACTCTATACAGACAGTCACCCGAGGCTGGAATCAAACCTGGGTCCCTGGCACTGTGAGGCAGCAGTGCTAACCACTGAGCCACCGTGCTGCCCACTTGACTAAATCAAAACAAAGGGGGCAGATTACAAGGTTTCCTTGATTGAACAAAAGAGGAATTTTATTACCAAGACCCCAGAAATGACCAAATACACAGACACAAACACAGGAATAAGTTTAAAAGAGAAAGTATCTGGTGCAGGTAGGAAGAAAAATGTCCTTCGAGTCCTGGAGGTGTTACATTTTAAATCTGACTGTTGACTCATATTCTACATCAGTGGTAAAGTTTGTTGATATTCTTGAGTACTTGATGAATGTTTTGTTTTATGAGGGCTTCTTCACTGGGTGATGGTTGAGAGACAGGGAGAACAAGGCTTGCAGTTTCCTTGCTGCTTTCCATTTGCAATTCTTTATTGCTCTAAGCAGCTGATGATATACATATATTTGTACATTCCTGCTCCATTGTCCTCCTAAACTGAATACTTCACGGACAACTGTTCATTTCTCAATATGTGATTGTGTGGTTCAAGTATAAATTAGACAAAGGTGCAAATTTCTTGACACTGACATGGCTGGCTGATTTTTTAGGTAAGTGTTGATTTCAATACACTTGGTTTCTTTTACTTCATATGAGTTCCCTAACTTTGTGGGCAGGTGATCTCAGCAGCCATTTTAGGTCAATGCTTACAAAAGCAAAGTATCTGGAAAACCTCAGCAGGCCTAGCAGCATCTGTGAAGGAAAAAACAGTGTTAACATTTTGGGTCCGGTGACCTTTCCTCAGAACAAAGTGCCAGGAAGCTGGGTTCAATGCCAGCCTTGGGTTCTGAGGAAGGGTCACCGGACCCAAAAGGTTAACTCTGTTTTCTCCTCCACAGATGCAGCCAGACCTGCTGAGCTTTTCCAGCAACTTTGTTTTTGTTCCTGATTTACAGCATCCGCAGTTTCTTTCAGTTTTTATTTAGGTCAACGCTTATCCTGTTTTTAAACAAAAAAAAAAAAATTCTACCTCATAGAGGGTCTCAGTATGGAATCAGATGATGAAAGTTTTTTTAAAATTCACTCATGGGATGTAGGCATTGCTGTCTGGTCAGCATTTATTGCATGTCCCTGGTGGCCTTTGAGAAGGTGGTGGTGAGCTGCCTTCTTGAACCGCTGCAGTCCACGTGCTGTAGGTTGACCTGAAATGCTTTTAGGGAGAGAATTCCAGGATTTTGAGCCAGCGACAGTGAAGGAAAGGCGATATATTTCCAAGTCAGGATGGTGCGTGGCCCGGAGGAGTACTTGCAGGGGATTGGAGATGAAAAGGACTGCAGATGCCAGAAGCTGGAGTCAATATATGTGAGGCTGGAAAAGCACAGCAGGTCAGACAGCATCAGAGGAGCAGAAAAGTCAATGTTTTGGACTGAAACCCTTTGTCAGGATTTGCAGGGGATGGTGTTCTCATGTGTGGAATGAACTTCCTGAGAAAATGGTGGATGTGGGTACAATTACAGCATTTAAAAGACATTTGGATAGATACGTGATTAGGAAAGGTTTGGAGGGATATGGGCCAGGAGCACACAGGTGAGACTACTTTAGTTTGGAATTATGTTCGGCATGGACTGGTTGGACCGAACGGTCTGTTTCCATGCTGTATGTCTGTATGACTCTATGACAATGTACCTGCTGTCCTAGTCCTTCTAGATGGAAGTGGTCGTGGGATTGGAAGGTGCTATCTGAGGATCTTTGGTGAATTTCTGCAGCGCATCTTGTAGAAGGTACACACTGCTGCTACTGAGCATCGGTGGTGGAAAGAGTGGATGTTTGTGGATGTGGGGCCAATCAAGCGGGCTGCTTTGTCCTGGATAGTGTCAAGCTCCTTGAGTGTTGTTGGGGCTGCACTCATCCAGGCAAGTGGGGAGTATTCCATCACACTCCTGACTTGTGCCTTATAGATGGTGGACTGCCTTTGAGGAGACAAGTTGAATACTGATAGTCCATTTTTACGGCAATTTAACAAAAATTAATATTTAATATGTAAATTGATGTAGGATCAAACGACAGTCTACTGAGACAACAAGGTGCAGGGCTGGATGAACACAGCAGGCCAAGCTGCATCATAGGAGCAGAGAGGCTGACGTTTCGGGCCTAGACCCTTCATCAGAAAAGGGGGAGGGGAAGGGGGTTTTGAAATAAATAGGGAGAGAGTGGGAGGCGGATAGAAGAGGGATAGAGGAGAGGA